AAATCAAATTTTAAATCGTACTTTTTATTGTTTGGACTATAGTAAGAGCTTTCTACTGATCTTTTAAGACTGATAGTTTGGAATTTATGTTTTTGTCTGTCTGACAACTCAGTGAAGTCAAAGAGGAATTCACATGATAATGGACAGATTATCTTACTTTTTCAAAGTTTGTACGAGTTTCATCTCTTTATTGTTCTTTTGCCCGATAATGCGTTACTTCTTTATTCATCAATCGATTATCTGACTATCTAATATACAAAAGTGAATATAATAGTGTGTATGATTATTTTAGGATCGAAAATTTTCCAGATATCATCTTACGCATGAAGTAGTCTTCTATGCTGTAGAGAAGAGTTGGATACGTGATTTGAGATAGATTCTCTTTCACTTTTACAGCCATTCATAGAATCTTCATTATTACGGTACAAAATAAATTATTTTCTTTGATTTTAGAAAAAATAATATTTGATTCATGGATAATCATCATTTACGAGCTATTCTATTAAAACTTCAAGATCGTCTAAGTGATAACGATCGTAAACGTTTGCATTTCTTTCTTGGAAACGATATTCCACGACGAATTCGAGATGACCCATCACTTAGTGGTACACTTAGTCTTATGGAATCTCTCTTTGATCAAGATAAAATCAGTGAATATGATTTCACTTTTCTCATAAATGCCTTCACTGAAATTCAATGCATTGATGCTGCTAAAGTTTTAACAGGTATACTGGTGACTCTAATGAGATGCTCGATCACTTCTGAGTTGATATTTCGATCAAACATAGAATACTAATCTAGGATAATCCTGTTCTCTGAATTCTCTCTATCTATGAAAAAAATATCAATTCACAGGCGATTGAACACTTCGAGAAGTTCACTTATCAGTATCGCTTCTATTTTTGTTCTGTCTGTCTAGAACATATGAAACGATTGCAACCAAATGCAACACTTAGGCCAATGCAGAGTTTAACATCAATAATGCCACCGATGTTGAATCAACTTTTCGAAGATCAAGAAGATACATTTCCCACTAATAAACGTAAGTATTTATAAGCTCTTATAATTCTATATTGTTGTGTGTTATCATTCAATTAGCTTCCATCAATCCACCAATATCTTCTAATAATGACACTATTATTGATATCAATGATACAAATATCAACCGAATGTCTACCATCAATAGTCCTTCGTCGATTTCATTTTCACAATTGCTACATAAGCTATTACCAAATCCAATATTGATGACACACAAATTTTTGGTAATATTGTTTCTATTACTAATTATTGCATTGATATTATTAACAATATTCTGTGTCCGAACTTATTATCGTGCGAATGTATTGGCACATCATTTAATAATCAAAGAACACATTCTTTTAGAACAACAATTAAAAATTAATCAGACAATTAAACAGCTTATTAAGCAAAGAGAAGATCTTGAGAAAGAAAAAAGTAAGATAAAATGTCTCATTTTTGAAGTAAAATTTTTCAACAAATTCTGATTAGGTACCTTATTAATTAAAGCTGGTCAAAAGTTTGGTGGTACTGGAGGTAGTTTATTTGATGATTCATCAACAAAAAATTTTACGTGCTCCCATTATCTCAGTAGGATTATCATTAGGAATGATAATGATGATGATGGTATGCCTCTAGATTGGATTCAATTTATTTATTCATCTTCTTATGATCAAAATAGTGTGATTGAAGGACAAACTCATGGTTTTCGACGAACAAGCGAAGTTTCACAATTTCTACTCGAAAAAGATGAAAGAATATATAAGATTCGTGGAAAACTAAGTAATGTAACATTATCTTCGCAAGATGGTACGCTATTTTCAACAATATTAGTACGAGGACTGCAATTTTTTACTAGCAAAGGTCGAGCAAGTCGATCTTACGATCACCTGGAAGGTAAAGTTTTCACCGAAGAATACGATGGATATACGTTGGGTTATGCGACCGGAAGATCAGGACTTTTTATCGATCAATTACAATTCTATTGGTATCGAACAGTAGTCACACAATAGTTATAGTCGTGTAAATAAAAACAAACTTACGTTTGTATCGATGTAGATTTTATTTTTAAATTTGAAATAAAGAATCTCATATATCTATGTTGTCGGGCTTTCGTTCGCTTAGTGTGAACACCAAATAAACTTTTGGAACATTGCAAACCACTTGAATATCTCGGATTTTCATGTTAATTAAAGAGTATAAGCGGCTATCATCGAAATAATACACGAGAAAGAAATCAGGCGATGATTAAAGATATTATCTGGTAAAGATCATTAGAATGTAATCAGGGATGGGACTCTCTCCTTTTTCGACTTCTTTAACTTTTTCTCGTTAAAAAAACATGAAAGATTCTAATTTGTCTCTTTTCGAATACGACCAAAAAATGAAAGTAAGAGTTGCGCTCACAAGTGTAACACATAGATGAGATATTACTTCGATTGAATACAGAGTATTTGATGGGAAAAGTTCAATATCATATGAAGATCAACGAATTACATAGAATAGAAATCCTTCTCGAAAACACAGCATGTGAAGAAGTCTTTTGTGTTGCATAAGGTACTAGAAAAAAAATTATTTTGATATACTTTATGCAAATAAACACAATATAAAAACTACTAAGGGCGTTCAAACAAATTAAAGATTCACCAGTCTTTACAACGATAACACCTTACTCACAATACATTCAGAACAACACTCACACGCCTATTCAAGTCCATACGCACATCCCGTGCACATTCAGAATTCATTATTTAGTTTTCACTGATGCTACCTCCATTCCGTGGTTTTTTAACTAAAATGCATGACGTGAAAGTCGATACCTTTCTTGTGTTACACCATTCACATTGGTTTTTTAACGGATAACATCGCTCAAGAGAGGTCTCTAGTGCTGAGTTTTTTTTTCAAATTATCTGAAGTAACTTAACATATATGTAAAATATAAAAATTATCTCTTATAAAATTCTTTATCTCGAGATATACGTGTTTTAACTTTGTAAAGTCACGTCGCTAACGAATGATGTTGTCCATGTATTAGATTGCCTTGAATGATCTTTTATTGGAGATAGAAACATGACAAAATCAATTTTATAATAAATTATTAATTATATCTTCATCAGATGATAATAAAAAACAATTATTATTTCTTAAGTGACCAAATTATTTATCAATTTTTGTTGATATTGATTTATGTTTTAAATAATTTGAAATTTCTACTAAAGCAATCCATTCGAAAAATTCTAAACAATCAATAAATACTGAAAATTTGAAAATATAATTCTTATGTTTTATAATCAACAAAAAAAAATTATCATTCTGTATCTCTTCTTTTTATCCTAGGTCATACTTAACGAAAACGACAAATGTATTGCATAACCTCGGAACAAGATTTATTCAGATACTAGAAAAGAAGAATAACTTACGAGTGAATTTAATGTTAGTAATGAAGAATTATTTTCTTTTTTTAGATTTGGATAAATTCCAATAAGATGATGATTAAATTATTATTAATAATTCTAACCATTGCACAAATTAATGGGTATAAGAAACATAAAGATCCAACTACAGAAAATACTCGACCAATTATTGGTAAAATAAACAATATGATTGTATAGTCAAATATGATTTCATTCATATAATTAAGGAATTTTAACTCAACCAACTCCAACATTATGGATGAAACCAAATCGCACTACTTATATAGCAGCTTCTTACGTAAAATATATCGAAGCAACTGGTGCTCAAGTTGTACCTATAAGGTAAAAGGTTCAAGCAAAAAATACATTTTGAATGATAATTTGTTATTTCTTAATTTTATAGAATGTATCAATCAATAGATTATTATTTTCATCTGTTTAATTCTCTAAATGGGTTTGCTAATAAAGAAAAAGAAGAAAAGAAAATCTTTTTCTTTATATTGACTTTTTTTTAGAGTACTCTTTCCTGGCGGAGATTTGACTGATGAATATTATTCTGTTGCTAAACTTTTTTATATGTGGTCATTAAAAGTAAATTACAAGGAAATTTTTATTATTTCATATATATTAATTGTTAGGATTTTGATGAAATACAAAAAAGTTTTCCTTTATGGGGAACATGTCTCGGTTTTGAAGTATTACTTATGTTAACAGGAAGTCCAACTGGTATTTTGGAACCCTATCAAGGATATAATTATGCAACAGAACTCACTTTTATGCCAAATATTTAAGAAGCATGATTCTGTAGTTAGACCATGATATTTATCTCTTCGTGAATATCCCAACTTTTCTAACGGTGTCATTGAACTTTACAATACTTGTACTCGAAAAGATGTTGACATTTTACGTGATCAATTGAAAGAACTCAGCGGTAATTCTTACTCATCCGATCAAATCAATGCACACATCTATACAATTCGTGATCGACTCAAAACAATTCCATGTGTAGTTTGGGGATCGACAGATTTAATAAGTGAGAAGATAGCTATGACCAAAGCTGCTTGTCAAGGCGCTAAATTGCCAACCGAAAAAAGTTACAATAAACATCACCAGATCAATCATTATTGATTGTTTAGTGTCACATGGTAATGATCACTTTGTTGCTGGAGCATTACATGGGTTTGGTGAATATGCACGCTTAGCTGGTCAACAAGCATCGGATGGTATCACGGAGCTTGATTATGCTATTGAATGTGGACAAAAAGCTACAACGGAATCAACTGCCTTTCAAATTGTGCCGTTCATTCATTTGGATAAACCTGGCGTTTGAGAGTATCTGAAACAACAGCACAGAAAATTGGCACGACAATTGCGAGTGATTATGAGTTCTCCACAACTTCAGAGTCTACCTGCATTGCTCCAAAAAGCACAGCAAACAGCAGCCAATGATGAAATTTTAGATATAATCGATCTTGAATCGTTATCAACACGAACAACTGCTACAAAGCCAGTTGAAAACTCATTACGAGGTATACTCAATAAAGATTTATTCACTTGTCCGATTACACTCGATTTTATGGATAATCCTGCAACAACAGTACCTTGCGGGCACATGTTCGAAATGGATGCTATCAACGTATATTTGAAGAGAGCCAACATCTGCCCTCCTCGCCAAACACTAGTAACTGGTGTCACACAGAATTGCGAATTCAATATCAGCGTTTCGTAAAGAATTGAATTCTGTATATAGCCCAAGCAACTAGAAACTCAACCCAAGTATAGGAGCGCATATCAGCAGGAAAAACTCCAATCCGCTGCTAATCTTCCTTACGTCATGATCCACCATATTTTTTTGCAATATTTTTAGCACCAACATAAGATAATCCATCAGATGTGACTGAGTCTTGTCTTCGTCTATAACTACATACACACACACGAATCTAAACCCAAACCTAAAATCCTATAATGACGACTACACTCACATCCCAAAAAAGGCCTTTCAATTGTCGCATTCAAGCGATCTCTTACAATTAATATCTTTTCCCTTATATTTTTCCTTTCTGTCTTTTCCCATCCATTCGTTCTCTCTATCTCTTATTAAACGATTCACTTCTTACTATCTTTTTCGTTCTTTCCTCTGATTATTCCGCTTCCATTGAATATGTTCAAATTTGAACATATTCATGTGAAGAAGAAGGATAAGAGGAACGAACGAAAAAAGATGCGCAAGTCAAGATGTAGATTATGTCGAATTAAGCTTAGACATATCGGAACAATTCCCCTTGGTTATTTATCTGGTGAACGTTTATAATAAAATGTTTTTCTTTTTTTCTTTTTGAAAACATATTATGGAGCTCGCAATTCTACTCCAACTGAAAGATTTCATAAGCTGCTTCAAGAATATTTTTGTTTTTCTTTTTATTCTCTTAGAATTTTCTTACAGTTGTAGCTATCTATATTTCATAAAAGTAAATTATCAACAATATTGATACCTATGATTCGTTTCTCAGTTATTGTTGGCATCAAACTTAAATGAAATAATACTTTTAATGTTACAAAATAACTAAATACTCGATGTAATAAAAATTTTATTTTGTATCATTAGAACAAGCTTTTGTTATCTATTCATCTTTCCAAAATTCCATAAGCTAAAAATTCTAAATCTTCAAACTATACGTTGATTAATAGCATGAGATCTTTTTAATGAGAAATCGAGTTTAGCACAGTTCAATAAATACAAATGTTTTTTTTTCTATTATATTTCTTTCAAATAAATCTATTAAACAGAAGTATTGTATACCCACGGAAAAATTTTTGGAGCAAAACCGCGGTCAACCACGGTGTTTTTAAACTCACCGCGGTTTTCCAACATGACACCGTGGTGTCGCTGAACAGACCGCTGTTAACCGCGTTTTTTTATCACCGCGTTCAAAGCAAACCGCGGTGAATACTATGGGGACCGCGGTATAATATATCGCGATTAGTCGCGTTTTCATAAACCGCGGTGAATATTATGGTGACGGCGGTATAATATATCGCGGTCAGTCGCGTTTTCATATACCGCAGTGGACATGTTTATGACCGCGGTATAATATATCGCGGTTAGTCGCGTTTTCGTACACCGCGGTGGACATGTATATGAGGGTGTGGGTGGGTGTGGGTGTGGATGGGTGTGGGTCTGATAACTCTTCATCTACATCCACACCCACCCACACTCACACCCGAAAACAGCACGTATGTATATCGAAATAAGGAGTCAAATAAATCTTTTTAAAATAACTGTGATAAACTTTCGATATTATAGATGCCCTTGCAAATAATTGTTTTCATAAACTATGAATTTCAAAGATAACTCAACGATACTGTCACTTTTTTCCAAAACAGATGACTCGGAAAGCACTATTCAATATTTCATGTTGTTTTTCTATCCGATATAAGAGCCTTTGCATTTCTTTTGCTGACAGACTTATAGAACTCGCACCACTCTTCACAATAACATATCTCATTATGCATAAAGTGATATGTTGGATTGAATGCGGGTGTGGAAGCTGTTTTTCTGTTCACCGTTATCCACACCCACACACCCTCAAACCATGGTTTCAGAATATATCATGAATTGTGTCGCAAATAACGATATATGAAATACATTGTATCTTAATATATGTCCAAGATCTTCTATATCTGTAAAGAAGATTTTACATATCTGTACTCAAGATCTGTTAATATTTCTGTACATTATATCTTGGTCAAGATCTTGCTTACAAGATGTTGGACTAGGAGTGAGTTCTACATTTTAGTTCAGAGGTTAGTACTGATACGTTTTTTATTTCTCAATATCTATAAATCTAGCCTAAAAAAATCTGGAAATTTACGTGTTTTCTTCAGAGTAACCTCATGTCGAAGAAAGTTCAAAAGCAAAACATTTAAAATTCTGTTTTATTGATTAGTTGTTTATAGAGATTGTAGACAAATTGAATATGTTAAACCGGATGTCGAAGAGGGTATAATGGTTCAGTCTCTTGTAACTGAATTATAAAAACATTCTTTGATGGTTGATATTGACCAATAACTTCAAACTGAGTAGCTGGTAAGAATAAAATTTCATTTTCATCAGGATAAATTGAATGATGTCGAATATCTTTCGCACTTTTAGATTCAATAGCGAATAAAGTACGAACACCGGTTTTGCCCAAAATTTCTTCTTGTTCTAGTACATTAATTGTCGAAGTGCATGATGAAAAACCCCACCATACGATTTTATTGCCTTGCTGATAATTCTTACTGAAATCACCTTTAACTCCACGATAAACAGTACGACCTATGATCGACGGTAGTTTGCCGAGACCTGTTAACACCAGTTTTAGATAGAGAAACCATGGTTGTAATAAGTCCCGCTTTTCTTTACGAAGCGTAGAATTAAGAATATAGTAAAGACTTTCTTCCTTTTTACTCCATTCCATTGAATATAGTATAATAGAAGCTGATTCACCTGATGTCAATCCATCTGCTGGGGTCTTTGAGTTTTCTATAGCAAGCCATGTTTTTCGTTCTATATCTGGAACAATGAAAATCAACGGAGCAATCGCTTTTTCTAATGAAACAAGTGGTTGTTGTGCATAGCCTTCGATAGGAAGCATCATTCTATTAGGTTCTTCAATCATATCAGAAACACGATGAGCATAAATAGATGTTTTACAGACAAGATCTCGTTTATCACCAGCCGATGCAGTAGATGCTAAAACAAAAAACAAAATATTGACTGAAATGCAAAAGAAAACAAAAGAAATTTCTATAGTGATTTCAATTCTGAGATTTTCTTTGTTGAAAGTGCCAATGAGAAAAATAAAAGATTCAGTTTGGTTTTTATAAAACAATTTCAGAGAGTACAGTAGACGAAGCATATGTGATTCTACACTTTAAAGTTTATCCTGATTCATTTAGAAAAGAAAAATGTGTATGCACAGGCAAATGCTATTTGTCATTCCTATAAATTTTAGCATGATTGATGCAATTTCTTCTCATCTTAATTCTTTGAAGAATAGTCTGACCCAAAAACTAGTGACAGAAAACTGGAGTCTTGTGTATCACATTGTCTTATTAAAAAGAAATATGACGAAAATCTAGTAGACAAACATGTGTAAAACATGCAAATAATAACTCGAAATGTATCGAGTAGAAGTTTATTTACCTTTAAACATTCACAGTGTCCATGGTTGACAGACTTCAGAACAGAAGGTGAACCATGCAGGTCATATATGAATGTAGGATAAAACTTCAAATAGAAATGGGTCAACAGAAGAAGCATCGATTTGAAAAGTTGCAAACGTGTATGCATTCAAATCGAAATGAACTAACTTCAACATTGATATCAGTAGTAGTGTAAGCGTACATTTATACATCAACTTCATCACTAAATAATATAAAAGCTTACCCAGAGGTGGCGCCAAATTGGTGATGGCTAATGTTCGAATATTATAAAAATTGATTTTATAATTATAATTGCTTAAACCAATATACCTCAGATTCAATAATGGCGATGGATCTTGCCATTTGAGAAGTGCTTTT